CGAGGCGATAGCCGAGAGCGACTCTTACGCTTCTTTCGTGCTTAGCAACCTCCCGCGTGCATCCATAACTCAATAGTGTACGCTGTGGTGTTTACCATTTGTTTTATAACATAGCATTGATACATTGTAGCTAAAGAGTTCCCTTTTATTTAACAAATCTTACGTGACCAGAAAATACAAGCAAGCGCGGAAAAATTGTCTTTGCATTTGCTCACGTCAGCAGCGTACACCCATGAGCAAATGGGGGACGCTGAATTGACCAATCAGAGCGCGTGCTTTACTTTGGTTATGTTATAATTGTCTTTACCGACAGCTGAGATTCAGAGAACTGAAATAAGTTCGAGGATTGTGGAGTGATAAACTAAAGCAATGTTTGTGTTATTTGCAGCCTGTGGAGCGGGTCACTCGTCACTTTAACCCCTTGGTGATTCCAGCAAAACTGCAAAAAGATTTACCATTTAAATCTAAACCGAAGCTAATGAAGAAAAGGAGCAAGCCAACCTTGGAAACGAGACGCGCTGTGGTTATGGAACCGCACGAAAAATCGGTGAGGACATTACCGTCAAATGCTGACTTAAGAGAAATATTCAGTTGACTGTGGAAAGTAATTCCATATTGCATTGGTTTTTGCATCACTTCGCTCTTTGATTGGTCCAGAAAAGTCTCCACCAATCAGATACCAAACTAAAACCAATCACACTTGGTCGCCCGCGTTTTAGGCAGTTGGCTGTTTTTACCTCGAGTTCTCATAGGCTATTAAGGGTATTTTCCTTTCACCTGATTGGCAGTCGCGAATACTTAATATTTACCTTTTGTTACATACAAAAGCAAAATGAGTCTTGGAAGGCTGGATAAGTTACCGTGGATTTTGAAACTCCTCACTTTGAAAATCAGGCTAAGAGCAAAAGCTTTCTTAAAAAAAAAAAAAACATCCGGTATCGATTGGGAATTTCAATCGAAAGCAACCCTTTCTCTCAATTAAAAGTACTCGAAGATTAAAAATTCCCCAACAATTCCTAAAAATTACTTTAAAATGTCTTTTTCCTTTCATTAAACAGGCTTATACGCTCATGCAGCAACTCTATACAGCGAACAAGGAGAAACAACGAAAGCGAAAGGAGAAGCTTCAAGAGAAAAGAAAGGTCTTTCGTGCAGAGAAGGAAAAAAAGGACGCGAAACGACAACAGAAGCAACGAGAAGAAAGGAAAAAGATCTTCAGAATGTTGGGAAAAGCGGAACAACGGAAAAAGAAAACATGATTGCGATCAAATTCTAAATTACTTCCGCAGATTATCTTCCCTTTCTTGTAAAAAGTTGGGTGTAAGGATTCAACAATTATTCTTCGTTGGTGATTTTTATTAAGATTCTCCATACCTTACAGATAGAGAGCAAAGTGGCATCGTTAGGAGAAGTTACATATTAATACTTACATTTATGCCAGGCTTTGATTGAACTGAGTCATTTTATTTTTGTGTAAACACTCGGTATTGTGAAGTGTAGTTTCCGCGGTCATGGACAACGTCCGGGACTCCCTCATTTGTTACTGTCACCTGAGCTATTGTGCTCAGGACACAATATCGACTCGTGTTTCAAAAAAATATTTAATGAATCTTGCGAGAATTGCTAGAATAATGGTTGAATCAGTTGAAATCTTAATAGAAGAAGAGAGTCGAGTTTGTTATGCTAACTCTACGGTGTCGTAGGACAGAGAACTGGGTTGGTGAAAGTGCTGCAAGCGTGTCGAACGCCTAACAAAAGCTTCACCTTTTCTTTTTTCGCTTTTAGCGACGAGTATATCTGGATTTAATATATATTACAGTAACTGGTTTGAACCTGGGAGTAACATGTGATAGTGTCGGCTGATCGTCTGGGCGAGTGTAGTAATGTTCCCGTTAGTGGTGACTGACGTTGCAACAACCTCACCGGAAGTCATCATCAGAGTCAAGTGAATAATTGTTGTCGGTCAAATGATCAAAGTCCGGTTCATATAAACTGATTGGTCAGTTTTGCCGTGATGTTATTGGCTGTAAGACTCAAGTGGCTTAAGTCGGTCGTGATTGGTCTGTTTCGATCCGTTGGTTAAGTTGGGTCGTTCTGTTCGGTTCGTTTGTAATGTTGATGTCGTGAATGATTCGTTTGTATGGTGCCGGTAATAGTTGACACCTGTTGAGTGGAGTTTGTTCTAAGTTAGTACATATTCTTCAGTAAAATCGACTTGCTTCTCTGATGTACGCTTTTTTTTTTGACTGTTTGCCGCTTTGACAAATACCGAAACGAAAATGATTTCCAATGAGCGAATAACGATGTAAACAAAAGTGAAGGCATGTGTCGGTTGGGAAATGGAACAAATCCCGTTTAATTTTGGTTCAGGGTTTTTTGCACAGTTTCGACCCAATTGCCTCAAAAAACTCCTTAAATAGCGATGATGTGTTAATATGTGTCGTGAGATGCTGCAAAATTACCCCGCGGAAGCCGTAATTTGGTGTTCTTGAATATGTGCAACATCGTGAATTATTTAATTCATTTACATTAGCTGACCGGAGAGAGAGCAATATAAAAGATTGAATTAACGTCACCGAAGAAAGCCGATGCCGTGATCCGCTTTAAGACCTAATTTTAACAAATTTTTCATGGTATAATTTGATATGACCTTTGGAGTAGGTGAATAATCGATCTTGACGACGCAGAATTTTTGAGGAGTTTGTTATCTGTGTGGCTGATTCAAAACGATTTCGTTCGCGTGTTCTTTCGCAGTTACTGTAATTCACGAGAGCCCCTTTGTTATCCTTGTTTATCGCAAACAGTTAACATTCTTTTTTAATCGAGAGAAGAATATTTATGAAAAGTTCTTTGTTTATGAATAGCTAAATCATGTCTGATAAAAAATTAAAATTATGCACCTTAATTTTATTTCGAAGCTTTTAGTTGACTTGAAAGTGTCGTCTAGCAAATATTGTAATGGGCGCAGGCGTCATTGAAATGTCTTATAAAGTGCTATGAACAACAGTTTACAATTTTAACTTTAAAAACACCTGCTATACATGCGTGTCGTTTCTTCAGACCTTCCTTTTACATTTTGTGAATTTTTTCCACGAACAAACATCAATTAATGTGACGCCATAAAAGTAACGAGTTAGGTCCAGTACAAAGAAAGTAAAGTATGAAAATTTCCACATCGTTGGATGGAAGATGGGCAAGATTTAAATATACTCTGATAAACCAATAAGAGTGCGTGTTCAAGCCATTACATCATGAAGCTGTCAGAAGTTAACCTCCACGTCAATATTGTTATTTCCTTTATTATTATTCCCATCCAAAAGATCCATGAATTTATCTTTGACTTGACAAGCGTCTTCTAAGCAGAAATTAAACGGGCGAGGGTTTGTCGGAGAATCTCGTCATCTTCACTGAATCCTTACTGAAAATTGAAGGTAACTTGTTCAATTGTTTTCAAAGGCCTTACGGTTACCTATGAAATTAGTGTCGCTCTGTGCAAAGCATTTTGCGCGTCTTCAGAATGTGTTTGTGAGCGTTAATTTACCCCGCAGACGTTTTTGTCTCTTGTCGCCTGAAACAGTGGTTTGTCACTACACCTTTGTTGGTCTCAGTTACTTTGTATTTTGTCCTAGACAACCACGAAGGATCCCAAGCAATCTTTTGACCAAATGAATTCGCTTTTCGTTATCAAGTCAATATCTAGATTAAACTACGGGTATTAGTATTTAGCACAAGAGGTATACCCAAGTTACAGAGACATGTCCCTTCGAAATACAAAAGCTAAAAATCCTTTCTTTTATTGAAGAAAAAATGATATTTTCCTCCATTCTTTACTTTAAGTTGACGGTGTGTGTGTGTACTTGTGTGTGTGTGTGTGTGTGTGTGTGTGTGTGTGTGTGTGTGTGTGTGTGTGTGTGTGTGTGTGTGAAATCAGCCGGTTCTGATAGATATCAGTTATCCGGTAACAACGATGCAATTTGTTCCACTTACGGGCCTAACTTCGTGAGTAAAGTCCACCGACCTCAAATCAACACTTATTAAGCACTGAAGGAGCCTACAACACGAGATTGTTACAATTTGTAATCTTGCGTTTAGGTGCGACAGTTTAGGTCAGAAAAATGCTTTTCATCAAATTTTTTTTTATTTGAACGCGCAGTATTATGTACTTGACCAGTTTCCCATTCATTTTTCATTCAATCCATTTTTCAGCCGTGCAGTGTTTTCCAAGCAGACGATACTTAGTGCTATGATGAACAATTCTACATCAGGTTTGTCTTTCCGTCTTCTGCTCCAGTATTACTTTTAAAACAAGACATGCGTGTGTTTTCTTGCTGTTTTCGTGTTACCGCAGGATAAATTCAAAGGATCCATCATGCGAACAGAGATAATTTAGTTATCAGACTTTTAATAACAAAAATGCATCCATTCAGACAGATATTTCTGACAGTCAAATTATTAGACTTAGAATAATTATATGACAATAAAAATGTTCTTTTACTTGTTATTAATATATCTCCAACATGTTAAAATGAAAATATTTGCATACAAAAGCATAAGAAAATCTGGCTTTGTCTAGCTGATCGAATTATAACATTTTCATACGGATCAACTGCTAAAAATTTCCATAGGAGAAAAAAAAAACCTTGGTTTAGTGCTACTGTTTCCGGAAGCCCATTTCCTAGCCGGAATTTGTCGCACTTATCATTCGTCTTGGCGCCGATCATGGAACCTTTTTAATAATTCTACAGACCTTTGCGCGAGGCTATTTATTTTGACTTTGTATTTTGATGTTGCATACGTCCTCCTTGGTAATCTCATGTTTTTGATTGAATTTATTGACAAGATTGTCAATCTCCCGGTTTCTCTGATTTTCTTAATTAACTAAGATTATCTCATCGTTCACTGAGTGGTCATATCCTACTCATAATCCCACAGATTTTCCGTAAAAGCATTAGACTTCACTTTTAGTGAAATCGGCTTACCGCGTAGTAACACTCTTGGAATATTGGAAAAACAATCGAAAAATTTATAAATTTGTCACTCAGTGTCTCGCGCGGGGTATTACACTGGTAGATGGATAGAGAGTGTCTAGTTTAGTTTAAGTTTAAGTTTAATTCATTCGCCACAGGAATGGCAGGAGAAAGGAACAGAACTTTCGTTCCAATTGACACCTAACCCCTTTTTTTACCCACCCACCCCACCCAGGGGAGGACATCCATCACACAGTAATGTCGTGTGTGGGAAATTAACGTCTCCTACCCCAACCCTGCAGGAGACGGGACCTCCATTTATCGTCCCTATCCGAGAAGACTAGAAAGTCTAACCATTTGCAGATATTATTATAAAGGCAGCACTTTCTTCTCCGTTAATTAAAGTCCCTCAGTGTTGGTCCGGTCGGATTTGAACTCACGACCTCCCGCACAACAGTCCGGCGCTCTACCAATTGAGCTAACCGGGAGGCGGTTATACCACCAAATTATACTTATATAATTTTGCGCGGGGTATAACACTGGTAGATGGATAGAGAGTGTCGCGCAAGGTAATATACTGGTAGATGGATAGAGAGTGTACTCTCTGCCTATGTAACAAGTGACTCTCTCTCCTCAAGGAATATCTCTTCTTTAAGTGTGATCGTATTTTGATGCAGAGGAATATCAACGAGATATCTGTCATCAACGTCTTCTCCATTAGAACTAACAAGCCCCAGTTCTCGAGATTTTAACTTATCTTTCTGGGAACTATTGTTTTCTCCCTAGTTGTCAGAGAGAAAATTTGGTGGTATAAGTAGGTTTAATTCTTAAAATGAGCGGTGAGACCCAACGGCTTTATGGGAAAAGATTGCACCGATATCTAATAAGTGATTCACTTTTCTCATAATTTATGAAAAAATATTTTTCTATGATAATCTTTTTCTTCCAGTGAAGCTTAGATGGCTTCCAACATTCACCAATTGCAACTAGCAACATTAACGTTGAATTATATATCCCCAAGGCGAATTCGAGGGGATTATTCGACAATATATGTTGAGGCGAGTAATTGTTTCAGAATTATTGCTCAGGTGTTTTCAAATTCTTTTGTAAATTCGTTTTGTCGTAGACCCCATTTTGTCAGAATTGTTTTGACCACTTGTATCAAGATAAGCAGCCAATTTCCATGCACTAGTGTTTAAAAGGATTATCCAATTCAATCAGCAAAGCCTTCATATCCTTCTTCTTTTCGCCAAATTTAGTAGTATCGTCTGTGAAATTTAATTTTATTCTATCGCATTCATCACTTCTTGCATAACATCGACAAAACAAGAGGAAGCTATTTTGAAATCAAGCGCCCCTGCTATAACCTGTGTAGTGTTGGGTACCCTGTGGTATCATGCATCGATTTAATGCAAGTGTTCTTGTGGTGTGCTTTAGTGTATTTCTTGTTTGATTTCGGCCATCGAACAACGCAGCTTGCCCACCGAAACAATTTCTGCAAAGTAGGCAAATAAGGATCTGAGAGCCGCCTGGAAGGTTCTACGTCCAGATAACAAGAACCCAAATAGAACTCACTACACAAGAGTTACAGCACCAGATATGACGAGATATGACGCAATTAGAGCTCGCGCATGTTTATGATCATAGGTGCAAGTTATCATGAACATCTGAACCAGAAAGCCGTATAGTTTCTCATCGTTCATTGTGAACACTTCTTAGGTGTAAATGTTTTTGCAATGGAGTGTAAATCTTTTACTGTGGTAAGGATCACTGTTTACCTATTTATTTATATGTTTGTTTATCTATTTCTTCAATTATTTATTCATCAATCTATTTGTTTGTCAGGGGGAAGAACATCTGGTTCTAACCTGGAAGTGAGCCTCACCATGCAAGTTGTTTTAACTCTGCTAGCGGCAGCCATTGCAACATTTGATCTGATTGGCAACGCCATCGTCATTCACGTGACGCGTTCAAGAACACCCATGCGCACAACAACAGATCTTCTGATTGCCAATCTAGCAGCCGCTGACCTCATGATGCTACCTGTCATTGTTTACTTGGTGAACTTTTTTTACAACCAGTTTGATTGGTTCGGTGGTGTTATGGGACAAGTCACGTGCCGGTTAGCGATCTCTCTCCAGGCTCTATCGGTTGTGAGCCAGGTGTACAGTATACTGGCTATTAGTGTAGATCGCTGTTGTGTTATATTCTTTCCTTTAAAAAAGGTTTTTGATAAAACATGCATTAAATGGCTCATTCTGGTCATCTGGTTAATCGCCGTGGCCTTTGCTATTCCTCAATTCATGGTTGCAACAGTCAAAACAAAGAGGAAAAGGCACAGCTGCTATCCTAGTTGGGAGAAGAGTGGAATGTCTACAAGCCATTATACTCTTGTATTTATGGCATTTGGTTATTTAATACCCTTAGTAACCATAGCAACTCTCTACCTCGTCACCACCGTTAGGCTTTGGAAGAGTGCAGCCCCAGGTCACCACTCAAAGTTAGCGATTGATAGAATCAGAGCCACGCGACGCAAACCTACTAAGATGTTGATTGGCATTGTCATTGTGTTTGCACTTTGTTGGTTTCCTTTACATGCAGCGGAGATATTAAGACGATTTGCCCGTGAGGTCTACTGGAGCCGTATTCCCTTCGAAGTAAACATTGTCTTGCCGTGGTTTGGGATCGCGAACAGCGCAATAAACCCATTCATTTATCCTATGTTCTGCGAGAAATATCGTTACGAATTCAGGAGAATCCTTTCCTTTCAGTCTATTAGGAGAAGCACCCGCACGAAATCTGGCTTGACGGTAATGACTGGACAACCAAAATTTAATGGGGAAACCTGTAAACCTGATGGGATTATTGCCAAATATAGCAAAAACGGCTGTTCTCTGAGAAAATTTAGAACTATTTACATAACTTCAATTTAAATTCGAGTGATAAGATGGTAAAAGCCACATATGCTCCGATATAAGGACAAATGGACTTGGTGAAGATACACAATTCGAAGACTTTCCCTTCTTTTTGCTTCTTCTCTTTCTTCTTTTTATAACTCTTAAGTTTTATATTGCTGTTGCCTTTTTTTCCAGAGTCACTGTGTTACTTTTAATATCAATTTTTACCAAATGTAGGCTGCATATCAAACTAATTGCCGCGCGCAAAGAACAAATGATTTTCTTTTTCTTTCTCGATGAAAGTTGAATCAAACTTGAAGGAGAAATAGAGAAAACACGAAAAAATTATCTCTTAAAGATCTCTTAAAATCTGCTTCAGCCTTGTCTTAACTTAACAGTCGTTGACAGCTCCGACAATGTTTAGTAACAATGCCTCTTTATTCTTGTTTCTAGTCATGCTCTTAGGCTTGAAAAAACTGACTTGTGATCCTGGGTATCTTTGTTTCGCACTATGTATACCAAAAGAATTAATAAAGTTGTAAATAATACTTTAATGCTGATACACTGATGACTTAGTGCAATCTGGGGTAAGTTTCTAAAGAAATTATGGTGCTACGACGGTGAGGGGTACAACAAGATAACTTGGTTTTATCAACTGAGTTCATAATGTAGATTGGCCATCGTAAAGAGTTTCTTCTAACCTGACGTTTCGAGCGTTAGCCCTCCGTCGGAGTGAATTGTTTACACTTATTTGTGTTGTTGTAGTTATATCGCATTCTTGCTACTTTGAAAGTCGTGAAATGAATTTCTTTTTCTAACACGAGTCGTTTTTTTAAGATTTGCTATTTCGAATCAATGGCTAATTTGGAAAAACTGAAATGGAACGTAACTTCAAGTTGTTAAGTAGCAGAATCTACCGAAAAGTTCCATTCATTAGAAATGCTCCTACATGTCCCCTCTGAAGAGGTTTCTTCTTTTTATTCTCGAGGAAATAGCTGCCTGACATTGGAAAGGAAATTGGTAGCCGTTACCATGGAAAAGAGATTTGGCTATGCAATAGCAATGAACCGCCATTGTTATTCATGCAGTGTTTATTACACTTAGGGAAAACCTCTCCTCTTCAATTTCGAGCTGTGTCTAGGTAATTTCAATATTAACTAAGAGGTTTTTCATGTGTAAGTAAAATAATGAGTTTCCAATCTAGGATACCGGTTTCAGTTTCATGTCAATGAATTTAAGAGATTTTGTGTATTTAAAATGCTTCCACATAACCCCTTTCCAGGAATTCCCACTTTTCCCAAGATACAAGCCATTAGGATTAGCATGATGACAATATTTAAACCACCACCCACCAGTATAAGTCCTCGTACAATAGTTAGAACCGGATGCGTCATTGTTTCTGTCTTTCGTACTGAATTTCCCCATATTATGATATGCCAGCGAGTCACCTGCTGTTCCTGAAAACGATCCTACTTCAAATCTATATTGAGACTGCTCGTCCCCAACGCTAAACCGGCCATATTTGGCATATGCTTTGGCACTGTTCCAGTCCTCCATATCAACTCGCAGGGAGCAGGTTCTAGAGGCTGTCAGTCGGTGGATCTTGTCATTTCCGAGCCAAAACTC